CAAAGATTTGGTAAAGAAAATTTAGCTTATCTCACCCGAACGGCAAACACCATAAGATAGGGAACTTCAATATTTAAGATCTCTATTCATATGAGATCATATTCACCTCCTCATACTTCCCTCAGTTCACTCACAAGCTCGATGACATACATTAACATAGAGACCTATAAGAAAAATCTCTACACTCCACATCCTCAATACCACAAAGAGAAAAACGATACTATGAGGCCATGCTCGATGATAGAGCCACAAATTTCTTTGAGCTTTAATCAACAACATCAAATGATATTGTAAAAGAAATTTAACTATACCAAGTGACACGGCTATAACCTCATTCCTATAAACTCAGTCAAAAAGAAAACAGAATTTAATAAAAAGAAAAGAGAGCATTTAAGATATAATACTCTGTCACCAGAAAGCTCTCACAGGAATGTCATAGACACTACTCCTCAATTTTTCAACAAAGCTGTTGACTTTTACCACTCATGGAAAAATCATCACGACAATGAATAATGATGACTTTTACCACTCATGGAAAAATCATCATGACTATGAATAATGAAAGAATAAGAACAAAAGATCAACACAAGTAATTTTCTAGAAGCAATCAAAATCTTGCAACAGCTAAATCAAATTGAAAAACCTGAGTAACTTGATCCCTTCTATAGATAAGGCATGCGTGAAATAGAAAAGTGATCGCTTAACAAATTTGAATTATATTTTACCAGAAAATAGCACTTACTCAGCAATTCCTTCATACACAGATCCGAATGATCCACGACCTAAGAGCTCACCCTTCTGCCAATCCATAATAATGCGTCTAAATCTCCCATTGGGTGAAACATTAGATGTGGGCTCTGTCGTAGTACTTGAAGAATCATCGTCATTTGAACTTGTAAACGAAGGCGACTCTGATATCATAACATTCTCGCTTCTCATATTATCCTCCTCTCTGTCTTCCTCTTGCTCGTCACTCCTCCTTCTCCCCTCCCCTTGACCTTCCTCCAAACTAACCACAAACTCAGGAACTCTTTCACCTTCCAATGGCAAGTCCCAAGATGAGAATGCGTTTTCTATCACCGGCAACGACAGTGCAGGCACTGGCGCCAGAACGGGTAGCCGCACACCCTTACTACCATTTCCACGATATTCACTCAATACACCACTTACAATTTCACCCGAAATTTCGTCACCTACCCTTTCACTATCTCCTAACCTGGCAGCTGGTTCATCAACACGCCAACTAACACTAGGGTTCTCACTAAAACCCACATTTTTCTCTCTAATAATTACATTACTTATCCTACTACAAACATCATTAGTAATTCCAGCATCAATATTACGAGCATCAGCCTCAATATTCCGATTAACTATAAGAGGAGCAGAAGAGGATCTGACCTTCATATTCTCATATTCAGCTGCAGATATCCCAAAATCATCTATCCCAGAAAACCCCAACGCATTGCAGATAATTTCAATTTCACCCTCAATCCCCTCGATGCGAAAGTTCTTATTATCACTGTACAATTCGAGCGACCGTGTGCGCAGTGAAGAGTCCTCCGATGAGTAATACGATGAAGACGATGTTGACGGCGTAGAGGGACATAAATCGTAATTGATGTTATTATTGGCGTTCCGGCGCTCGAGTCTCGGCTGATTCTGCTTGGAGGCGGCTTGGCGGCGGCTTCGGCCGGAGCTGGAGCTGGAATTCATGCGGGTTTTGCTTCGCTCTGAGCTAAGAAATAAGAATTTCGGTATTCGATGCATCATGATTGGAATCTAAATCCATTAATTGAAAGAAAAAGGCTTCAAAAGTTTTGAAATTTCTTTCTTTTTATGGTGAGATGACGATATTTTAGAAAAAGTGTGCGTGAAAGAGAGAGAGGAAATTTATGTATGTATAGGCGTAGAAGATTGGCGGAAAAGGCGGAAAAGGAGGCGTCGGAGAGAGAAAATGAACTGCCAGGTTGGGTTTTACTTATCCCTTTATTCCTCGCACTGTGCGTGTGAAAAAAAATTGCAACGCAAGCGTTGACTGGACTATTAAAAGGCGATAGATAAAGAAGCGGCTTTTGCAATTTGTACAATTTTTTTTTCTATACATTCCATTTGTTTTCAAAATATTGTGGCGGAAAAACTGTTTTTCTTTTAAATTGACAAATGACAAACTGTCAAAGTTGATGTACGCCAAACATATTCAAATTCACCATAATTCCTTATGAAAGGTTGCTAATAATTTTTTTTTTTTAGGAGAGTACTTAAAAGAATTGTGTAGAGATGAAATTTTAGGTTCAAAAATATCTTCTTCGATGTGAGTTGACATGAATTCTGTCATGAAAGAGAAAAAAAAATAGTCAAAATGTAGAATTTCGTTTAAAATTCAAAAGCTTGATTGGATGAGGAGACTAACAAAATTTAATATTTTAATATCGAATTTAGACATAGTTTTACTTTTATATTTATTTTAAGAAAATAAAGATATAAATATAGCAATCGATAAGTTTTGTTTAATCGATCGATGCCTAATTTACAATTTTTCACACACAACTAGACTAGCTTTCGATCTGATTCAAATTTTAATATATTGGTTTATTTTGGTTATATAATTTTTTGAAATTTTTAATTATTAATTTTCGTTTCATTTCATTTTAGACAATTTGTCTAATTCAGCCCCCGTTAATTTTTCATTCTCATTCATCATTTCAACCACACATTCTATTAATAAAATAATATTACACATAAACCCAAAAATTTTCCTTACATTTTAACCACATAATCTTCCATNTTATCTCATTCTCATTTTTCTACAGTACTCATTTCTAACCACACATTCTCCAAATAAAATAATATTACACATAAATACAAAAATTCTTCTTACTTTTTAACCACACATTCTTTACATCAATCACTATTCAAAAACTCATTCTTCAAAAGAATGGGTGCCAAACAAGCCTAAAATTTATTACACGTCACGCATCTATCAAGGCATACGTGAATTGTGGCTGACGTCAGATATGACCAATGGTCATTTGACCGCTACTCAACCTTACCATTACCGGGAACTGCATAAGAAAGTTCTTGGCATCCATTTAATAATCATATCGATTAAATTTGATTTAATAATTTATTTTAATAGCATATTTTATAAAATTCACAAAATTTTAACCACATTTTTTATCACTTTTTATTAAATCTACTAAAAATTTGATTCTAATCCACATCAAGTAAGGGCATAATTTACTATTCATTCACGTGAACAGATGGTATTAAAATGTATTGTATCATTTTTTAATATGTTTGACATCCCTTTCACAAAATATCAAAATGTGTCGAACTCTAAAGTCTCATATAGGACATCTCATAACTTTACGTAGCACAACTTGCCCTCGTGACGAATAATATTGAGCCCAAGTGTGTAGACTCATGGTTCACATAGATCACTTTAGAACTATGACTTCTGAAAAGAAAAAAAAACACTATGCAAAACTTGTGCAAAGAAAAAGTGCATGAATCATACTAGGCTTGATCAGCTAATTGCATGGTATTGCTTAATAAGTTTGTGCATTTTCCTTGCCTATTTTGAAAATATGTGAAGACAGATTATGCATCGTCTACATCAAACTTCTCGTGTCATATGCACATTAAGTGGTCATAACAATCTTCCAACAAAATCAATGTTTTCACCATCGATAATTGAGAAAACTTTGACAACTTTTATTATTCTCATTTTCGAATGTTTCATAAAGATCTTTTGCCAATTCATGCAAACTCTTATTTTTATCCTTTTGAGCGGTGAAACCAATTTATGATTGTGATTATCTTCATATCCTTTCATTATCCAATAGCCTCCTTCAATGTCATTTGAGATTAGCATGTTAACCTTACACCCACCCCTAACTGTGGAGCATCTTCTTTGTTTTGTAGAGTCGTCTTTTTCATAATTCTCTATATGACTTGATCATCCAAGAATCTTCCTACTATAATGTTTGCCTTCAAAAGAGCACACAAATTTAACAAAAGTGAGTGTGACTCGGTTATTGTTTGAGCACGAGTTGTGTAGTTCAAAATCCTTATAATAAGATCTTGAATCCTGCGTTGCCTTAAATTTCATCCTAACGTAATGTGCTTGACCTTACATTGATAGTGGCCCAATCTCATTGAACCAAAGGTGTAAAAGTTTACAAGATAGTAGCATCCATTTACAAAACAAATATGGCTAAAAATCAGAAGTTTTCCTACAAGTAACATGAAAATTGAAATGAAGCTTAACCAACAAGGCCATGAAATCAATAAACAGTGAAGGGAAAGGTGGAGGAGAGGGATAGAGACAGTGAGACCAGATTATTTAATGACAAGTAAAATTAATAAAGCATATTTTCTTCCCCTCCCATTTTATTTATTTATTTTTATTTTTTTGTGCACGCATACAAACAGTCAAACGTGTCTTGAATGCTTCATATTAAAAATGCCCATAGTGTCACAGTAATTCTCATAGTAGTCTTGAGAAACTAAACAACCATGTGGAGTGATTTTCACCCATATTGCAATCAAATAAAAATTTTAGATGACTAAAATTAATAATTTTATGTCAAACTATAATCATTAGTTTGTTTTTTGTAGTCTACTTTCCTCACCCAATGCACACATACTTTCAAACCAACCATGAAGTTTCTTCCAAATTATATAAACATTTTCACCCAAAGGGATGATTCACAAGTAAATCTGATCTTCCACGTAACAAAAACAACCTCCAAATTGTTCAAGAATACTAGCATTAGTTTCTCGACCATTTCATTTAGGTTTAACCATTTGTATTTGTGAACAAGAAACCCTGGCATGTTCTGGCACATTCATGAATGTTTTGTACAAGGGACTAAATTTTTTTTAACAAAACAGACAGACCTTCGAATCTGAACTAACATAACAGATACAGAAACACAGGCAGGGATGAGCGGCAAACAATCTCAATTTCCAGTCTGTCTACCATTGAGGCTACTTGGTTATTCTGAATGAGAAGTCCAATACATCAGCCCACTGCAAGAAAATCAAAGAAGTCAAGTCACATGAATCATCAACCAGGGGATAAATATTTATAATGCAAAAGAATGGCATTGAATTGTTTAGCACATACTGATTATCTATTTATATAGATTCAATACTAGTCAAAGCTCTAGGAGTTCTTTTTTCTTTCTTTTTATTTGGGGTTTTTGGGGAAGGTGGCCTAAGCCTGAATCCTAAACCGTAAACTTCCAGCCAATTAACATGAGTTTTCGATGACATTTAGGTGCTCGGCGCTGAATTAGATAACAGAAGGAAGTGGGATGAGTAATGGTAATGCTATATGTACCCACTAGGGATCATCCCCATGTGATGTGATAAGACCAGTCAAGTGGATCTCGTATCTACACATTTAATTTGTCTCATTCAGGAAGATTGAGAGACCGAGCAGGCGAGCACTCTAAAGCACAAGCAAGAATCTGATACACACTAAAAAATTTCATACTAGTAGCATGTATTGCTAAGCTTAAAAGTAACTTAAATTTACTTTAGAACGATTTAAAACTTAATTTACTTGTAAGCAAATATTTTAAGTGTGGCCAACTTATTCTCTGTCGATCAAAAATAAACCAAGAAACCAAAAATAAGTACCTGATTAGTACAAAGACACATTGAAAAACACCTGCAACTCCAGTCCAAGCTGAAGGTCCAGATTTCACCAGCGCATCTTGTATCAATAGGCCCACGGAAGCTGCCAAGGAGACGAAGGATACAACATATGCAATGAAAAGCCAAAGTTTGACCCTGCGATTTCAGAAATTGGAACGGTTCACAAAAAAATTTAAGCCACTAGTGAATCGAAAAAGATACAACAACTGTTATACCGTTATAATTTTGCAAACACGTGAAAGCATTTAAGTGAGGGGCAGATGTTTCCACCAAATTGCCATCTGGTTGGGCATACAAAATCATTGAGGAGCAGTTGAGGCTAAGAAACACGTGAATACACTCACTCTAAATTTCATTTTTGCCTGGGAAAAAAAAGTCTCCAGAATGTTGCCACGAGGCCCAGTAATCTAAAAACCAAGAGGAAAAGCCACAAACCGGTTGGCTATAGCCTTAAAACCATTCTTTGAAACAGGGATGAAGGTGGAATAGGTTTCCAACTTCATTGTTTTTTAAATATATACGGTTAGCAAGCGATTCGGTCAAGACAATATCCATGCCATGTTATGTACATCCTCGGCTTCATAGAACTATAATGTCCAGATATTGACACACTTTTCATTTTTATATTGATGAAAATTGTAAGAATTATTTTTTACTCCAGTTCGGTCTCTGTTAAACTCTTTCACCCTCTACATTTTCTTGGTCAATGCGTTGGAGGATCTCAAAACACTAATATGGACAACAAAAAGACAAGAATCGCTCTGTCTCAAAAAAAGGGGCCGGCTATCAAAGAGAATTATATAGGATTTTGTAGGAAAAAGTAAAGGATTAGATAACAATTCACAAATTCTCGATAATTAACAAAAATGGGTCTTCGGTTGGTGAATGTTGTTGAGTTTTTGAATTTCATTACTTGAAGATACATTAGAAAATAACTCGTGTGAATTGACAAAAACATAGCATGCAAATGCTCTAAACTTCATTCTAATGATTGAAACGACAAATAAAACCCCTACTTTTTTTCATATCAAATCTCTTTAAAATTTCAATTCCTAAAGGTCACAATCTCGTGAATTTAATACCTCTCAGATTAAAGGACCACAAGAAGTTGCTACTAGCTTTCCTGTAAGGCTGTAACAAGTAAAAAATATTATATGGCGATTACACCAACACAAAACTTAGGAGACTCGGACGGGAGTTTTACCGCTTTGAAACTTTATCAAAAACCCATTCATAGTTTTATTGCTTTGAAACAGCTTCAACTACCTAATGCGGGATGGATTTCATGGATTTTTTTCCCACATTTCTTCAATGTGGGACTGCCAGAGATCTCCTTTAAAAATGAACATTATTTTCCAAAATAAATAATTTTCACAACCTAAAGTGGATATGCTAATTTTTTTATTCTAAACCGAGTGAGACCGAAGCAATCCACAAGAATGATGGTACACCCTTACTGAGTACCAAAAATTCAACCGATTGGTAGTCATTAGTTTATACAAACTTAAAAGATAACTGTGTTGATGACATAATGAATAAAAATTAAAATTCAGGTTTGCTTACATTAGCAATTGAAACCAAATCTGACAGTTAACTTCATTACTTGAAAATTAGAAACTGCCTCTCCTCGTTAAAGACTAAATTTGAATGAATAAATTGGTGTCATCTCTAATAACTTAAAACTTTGAGATGAAAAGTCAAGCAAGAGACCTAGGTTCAAGTTTGGTCACCATAAGTTAATGAAAATTTGTGCACGTCGTCCAGTGTTTTGTAACACTAAAATTTTACAAAACAGAAAAATGGAAATGCACACTTCTCCGATATTTGGCAATAATTAATCCGAGAGGCTTTACTTTCAGTTTTACTGTGGTTTACCCATAACCATCAGCAGCAAGGGTTATGGATTGTCCCAAAAAGAAACAGAAAAGGCAGGAAGGAAGAAAATCCTAAGCACAGAATGCTTCAAACACAAATCTTCCAAACCCAAATAGCAAACAAAAGAATTAATTATACACACAAGTAACAAGTACTACTGACCTCCACTCGCTTTCTCCGTAGGGTGAATCGTCAAGGTCTTCTTTATTAACAGTATTGAACATCAAAGCAGCCAAAGACGCAAATATGCCTGCACAAACAAAATGCAAAGGCAGAAAAATAGACCATAATTAATAATTCTCACTAAATAAAGTTGGAGTTACATCTTAAAAAGTCAATTTTGTTAAAGATTGATATAAAAAGGGTTATATGTTGATTAATTTTTCATAATTTGTCCGTATGAAATTTCACTCTTAACGGATCTTAACAAATAGAACTAAAAATTCAAAATGAAAAATCCAAAACCCCACCCGACAAATATATAGATGCAGATACACGTATATACCTGGAAGATAGTGGAGGAAGGAAACTTTGACGGAACTGCATACTACGGCGTCGACCCAGAACCACCAGCCAGCGCCAAAGACTGCGCCGGCGAATCCGGGACCGAAGATTGCCCAAAATTCTCCCAAATCCATTTATATTATTTCCTTAAATTGATATTGATTTATTATCGCCCTCCTTGAGACTGATTAGGTTTCGAATTCTGAGTCTTGGAAAAATATAGGATTTGATTACAGAATACAGATTGTTGTAGATTTGGAATTTGATGTCTGCTTTTTTGGTACTAGAAACTTGGCAGTTCCAGCCAGCAATCGAAAGCTTTATTTATTCTCTCTAATATGATTACAACTAACAGTGGAATTATTACTAAATTCAAAATATTTACTTAGAGGGTGTTTGAGACACATTATTTTAAAAGAATGTATTATTGAATAGTAGATTGATGGAGAATGTGTGGTTAAAAATGAAGAAAAAGTTATTGATGTGATGGAAAATATTATTTTATTGAAAAATGTGTAGTTGAAAATGAGTAGAA